AATATATATAGTGATATATTGTTTAAAAGCTGATAAAATTTTAGAATTTAGATTACTTTAATTCATAAAAACTAACCACTTATTTTTCCGGCTACACTTTTATCAGTATAAGATAAACACTTTCTTTTCCATCTAGATAAACCCACTGCAGTTTTTCTCTCTTTAGCCTTAGGCCTTCCTCGTGACTTAATCTTTCGAGGAAATTTTAGATCTTTAATATTGATTGAATGAATATTTAAAGAATCATGTAGATTATTGCTTGCCTAAAAGATTTAATTAACTTTGGTTTAACAATTACTGTTTTTATTAAAACTTATAACCAAAATCTACACAAGCATTGCTAACTATTTCAAATGGTATTTTACAGAAAAATAAACTTTTTAAAAACAATAAAAAATGGTAAAAGACAACTGTAATAATAAACATTGACAATACGATAAATAGTAATACTAATTTTGTTGAAAGATAATAAAAGAACAATAAAAAATGAAATAAAACAAAAACTTCTTACCCCAAATTCACTGTCTTCTACCAGATTTTTACTAACTATGTTAATCGAAGTTTGATCACAAACTTGAATATTATCGTTATGATGTTGACTAGATATTTCGGCAACAATCAATCCATTTTTTTCTAAATTGTCTTGGTGTAAATCTACAGGCAATTGCTCTAAATGTAACGGCTTTTTGATTGCGATTAAACAATTTGGGAAATCCATATCTATTGGAATTGGTTGCATTTCATACTCATTTATTGAAATATGAGAACTTGAACTACAGATGAAGTCAGGTGCATCATGAAATTCTAAAATATCAGAGTTTGAAACCTCTAATGGATGCATATTATTCTTATTTAAGGTTTTATTGCATGTTAAAATCAAATCTAAGTTACTTGTTGACGAAACAAATGCTTTTTTTGTTGAATCACACAATACGTTATGGTTGCTTATAGAACTAATAGCATATTCTGATCTAGTATCAATTATTAAATCCACTGAGTCCAAAACAGTTATCTCTGCATGTTTATGTTCTTCCCAAATATTAACTAAATTTTGAAGGATGTTTATTCGGCTTTCAAATTCACTTTTCCCTCCTTCAGAAACAAGCTGTGCTAATCGCTGAGAGATACGATTTGCTTTTTTAAACTTTTCAGCTTGTGTTAAAGGTCTTTCTTTTAACACACCAATTCCTAGATGATTATGGTTTTTGTTTTGGTGTTGAAAAAGGCGATGATTTTCAGTAGCATGAGATTTGAGCCATCTTATTGAAATGCCGTCAAATGAAAATATTGGTAATTGCTTTATTCGCCTTGCTACAAACATGTGTTTGCAAATATAATTCAGCTGATTGATAACAAAATTTCATTAAAAGTTGTTTATTTAAATAGTTTGAATTGCATAGTATAATTGTAGTGAACAAACAGTAGCAAAATTCAAAAAAAACTTGCAATTCAAACAGTGGCATGTATAAATGTTTCTGTTACACATTGTTTTATCTTATACTATTTTTGAAAAGTTTGGATATCAACAAGGTTTCGGTAAACTTGTAAGTTGAAGAGTATTAACCATTAAAGTAACTTAAAATTCAAAAACAAAATAAATAAGTACAAAAACAAACCATCACAATTTTGAAATACTGCAAGTAAAGATTCTACATCTGTTGAACCTTTCTCTTTTGATGATAAGTTATGTATGTCTTTTAACGTAATTTTCTTTCCTAAATGATAAGTGATTAAACAACAAAATTAGACATTTTAACAAAATAATTAAATGAATTTAGATAAATTACAAACTTAATTAAAATATCGAAATTATAAGAGTTATATTATTATTACTATGAAGTTTATTTATAATGTTTAATACAGTGTAGTGAAATCAATATTTAACAATTATTTTTTATAATTAACAAATGATACTAATTTAATAATTAACAAATAGTACTAATTCAATAATTAGCAAATAATACTAATTCCAAAAACGTCTTTTAAATTTGATGAACAACATAGAGTGTCAAAACAAGACTTTAAAAGTTCTCAGTTCTGTTCTGTTACAGATTTGTGTTTGGACACACAAGTGTAAAATTATGGTTCTAAAACTTAAGTAAACAAAAAGTTATTATATTATTTCCCAGTTAAATCATACTTTGAATAAATCTGAATAGATTTGCTAATCTGAAATAAAAATCAACTTAATCATCATCACCTGTTTCATTTTAAATATGCTCATGAACAAGCCATTTATTGCAATGTAATTTCAACATTTGTCTTACATCTTTTTCTTGCTCATTACTCAATTTCCTAACCTTTGGAAGCCTTTCTATAACTTCCTAAATAATAAATAATAATTATTAAAAAAATCATTTAAAAATTAATTTTTTTAATTAATAAAACAAGGATTTGTAGATATCTTTGAGAATAACCATAATAATTTAAAAAACTCATTTTTTTGAACAAAATACAATCAGGGTCTCACAACCAGAGATGTAGGTCTCGAGAATTAGGGCTCATATTCAACTGTCTTGGTCTTGAAACTTGAAGACCAAGAGTCTTAGCCTAGAAAGCCTAGAGTCTTGGTTTTGGAAACCTTTGTTTTTTTTTTTAAAAAGATTTAAAATTTAGATTATAATAGTATGATGTATCGTGGATTTGAAAATGCAAACCCAATCTGGTGGACACTTTTTTCTTCAAATAAAATATTTACGGTGCATCCTACGATAACATAGACATAACATAGATAAAATCACTTAATTTTTCTAAAAATAATGTAAACCAAAAACCTACTTTATGTAGTTATTTTAATGACTTTTTAACCAAATATGAAGTTTTACAAATTCAAAAAATATTTTTAAAATTTATTTATTTTTCATTTATAGTTTCTCCTTAATTAGTCAAATATTAGTCATTTTCCCGCTTAAAACTAAGCGAGCCTCCTAGCAAGACATGTTTTTTTTTGCAGATTTAGATTCCCTGTAAATTTCTGCGCAATAAAGAATTTCCCTTACTCTTAAAATTTTATAAAAACAGTAACTATAAAAAAAATTGCCTAATTTTTGTCAAAACACCCTTTATAAAAACTTACTTTTGTGTTCATTTTAATTACTTTTTGAACTAAATATAATATTGCCCTTGCTAATTAGTCATATTTTAGTCATTTTTGGGTTTTAAACAATGCTGACCCACCCAGCAAGACTTTAATTACTTTTATATTTAATAGTGGTTAAAAATTTCATTGAAAAATAATTGGTACTTAAGTTTAAATATTGTAAATAAAGCAAAATATTGAACAAATAACAATAAAGTTTCGTAGCAAAACTAGCCAAATATGACGTATAATATTCGTAGCAAAAATAGCCAAATATTCGTAGCAAAAATAGCCAAATATGACATTCTAAAATAGGTAGCAGTTTTCATCAGTTCTTCTAGTCCAATTTTGTTACTTAAGGGTGCATAACTTTTTGTAGAGTCATTCTTTTTTTTTACGAAATTTTTTACGCACATACCTACTTTAACTTTTTTTAACCTTTAGTAACGTGTCCTGTGACATATTTTGATACAATTATAAAATATCTAAAAAATATTTGACATTCACACTGACATTTGTTTCAAAAATTTATATGATTAATATAAATAAACAAATTTATACTTATTACTTTATTAATTGCATGATTGTGCTCATTAATAACTTTAACAACACAGAACTGCTCTCCATCTTCAGTGACTCCAATGCAAATAGTAAATGGGCATTTGATGTTATATGTGCTATCGATAATTAATTATAAAATCTTTATTTAAAGTACTTTCTATTTTTATAAATAAATTTAAAATAAGTATGTATTTATTCATCCTACCTTTGATTTGGACGAATACCTTTAGATCTTGACTTAAACTGGCGCCCACCATGATAACAACAATATGTTAAATAATAATATTTTAATCCCTTATTAATAGAGCGCTTCAAACCTTTTTTGATCGCTAACTCAATGGTTCGACTATCGCGAACATATAATGATATAAAACTTGATTTTTCATACTCTTCAATTGCCTGCTTAAGTTCATTGAAACTATTAAATACTTTACCGACTTCCATTTTTAAAACAAATGCATTTGATTTTTTTATATATCAACTACCAGACGCGGACCTTAAGTAAATCAACTAATAGTTACGTAGCCGCAATTAGCTAGAGCCCAGACCAGCCGGTACTCTAGCACCAAGAGTTAAAGATCCAGCTGCCGGTACCGTAGCCACTGCGATATATATATATATATATATATATATATATATATATATATATATATATATATATATATATATATTCATACATGCATACAGTCATGTGATATTGAAATAAAAACATAATTAAAAAGCAACATTTTTTTTATTCCTTTTTTTTTTTTCCATAAATGTTCAATTTGATGACCTTTGTTATCATACAATGTTTACTATGTTTAGACCTGGACATCAATGCTTAATTTATAAGTTCTTTAGGGATGTTCCTCCATATATCTTTTACATTATTGAATAAACCCTGTAACCAATACCATGATGGATTTTGGAAAATTTTTCTTTTTATGATAGTGTACTCTCTGTGCTTTTTGATATTTAATTATGTAAATATGTTTGGATTTTTGATCACAATCAGTAAAGTAGAATAGTTTTTGATCAGATGTATCGATTTTTTTTCCAGTTAATCTTAATAAATCCATAAATTTTTTCTGATTTTGTAAACCTTTTCTTGATTGCTCAAGGTAATAATGCACGTAAACATCCTTTTGAAACTTTTTTTTAAATTGAACATTTTATCAATGTAATATTTAATTGACTTTCTCGATATCTTAAACTTTTCTAGATAACTCAGAAATAATTGGTGGTTTGTCTTTCTATTAATAAGTTTTTCATCTGAAAAAGTTAAAATAAATTTAGCTTTAATGGTCAATCCAAATGTTCAACTTTTTTTCCATTTAAATCATCTTTTCTTTTAATTCTCACCATGTTATTTATAATTCTACTAATGGTGGTTATTAAAACTTTGATTGATTCTTATTCTCAAAATTTCTTAATCATTCTATACAAATATCAACATTAATACTTTCTTTAATTTTTTTTTTTGCTTTTTTTTTTTTTATGTCAAAATGCTTTGTTTACATAAATCTTTTATTTTTTGCTAACTACTTTAAATATGTGATTAAATTATAAATAAGATCGTTAAATATTGTTTAAACAAAAAGTAATCAAGTTTCAAAAGTGTTTCCATTTCAATGCCACAAGACTGTATATGAATTAATTAATAAAATGTCTATTATAAAATATTTATATCATTTTTGTGTTCATATATTTATATCATTTTTGTGTTCATATTTGTTTATATTTAGATAAATAGGCACTCAAAGGTGTAAGAGTTTAAAAGTTAGTTATGAGTATTATAGTTAATCATTAAGTTCATTATTTATATTTAGAATAAAAAGAAAAGAAAAATATTTTTTTCAAAATTTTAAGACTTTTTATACTTTTTAAATATATTTTATTATAGTCTATCAAGGCAGATATTCTGCACAAAAAAAAAAAAAAAAAAAAAAAAGGATACAATGAATAACAAACTGAGATTTGTTATATTCCACTTCAAAACCTCTATTTGTATCATACTTCAATTTAATTTTTTATTTCTTGTAGGTATTTATTTATTGCTCAAAAGAGTTTTTAACTTTATCCAGAGTTGTTTGTTGCTTGATCTTAGTTAAATCACTCATATTGAGTAACAACTTTAAGGTAACTATTGCATATAATAAGTGTTTTTTATAATTTATTACTTTGTTAAATACTAAAAACTTTATGTTTTTTTGTTGTTTTTTTTAGATTCAGAGTTGACTAGAAATGGAATAGAAAAGAAAGATTGTATTTTTGTGTATTTGGAATTATTTATATTTATTGTTTAATAAATATATATTACTTAAAGATAAGTTTTTAAGTATATCTATATTGTAAATGTATATAGGAATATGTAATATAATTATATTATTGTTTACTTGTATATACTTTATCAAAATTGTTAATAATCTTTTAGAAAATGTTTATTACTTTACTAATTTTTTATTTATTTGTGTATTTAAATGGAAGTATCCGTTTACGGAAAGGTTCCGGCAGCTGTCGATGACCAAACTACTCATTGTTTAACGGAAAAAACCCATTGTATTTTAACGGAAAAAAATCCGTTTGTTAACGGAAACTTCCGTTTACATACGATGGGTTTTTCCGTAAAATAACGGGTAGTTTGGTTATCGGCAGCTGCCGGAACTTTTCCGTAAAAAACGCGCTATTTTTTGAACAGTGTTCCTTATATTAAAACCTAGCACAACAAGAAATGTTATTGAAAAATCTTGAACTATCTAACTCAAGAAATGCATTGCAATGCAATGTTTTCTTTTTTTTCGTTATAAAATATGAGTAAAAAATAAAAAAGATTTTTTGCGACGAAAACAGTAAGTTTGAATTTTAAACTGCTAAATTATTCAAAACTTTTTTCTGTATTGAATTATTGAAATATTTAATAATTTTTGTATTTAAAAAACGGCAAACAAAGACATTTAAAGTCATACGTAAGATAACATACCTATGTAAGAAATATTTGTAACTTTACTTTTAGTTATTTTACGATGCAGTTTAGTTATACCATGTCAATTGTAATTGGATTAAAGGCATCGCAGTATTTTTGTAAAGAAAAATCTAGTGAATCTGCAATTTGCAAAAAGTGCAATGTAAAGATAATGTGCAAAGAATTTTCAACAAGTGGGCTCCTACCTCTTTTAAAAAACGTACATGAAGATTTGGATTTAAATATGAAGCGTCAACAATTTAAATATGAAGCGTCAACAACTTAAATATGAAGCGTCAACTAGTATCTTCTTACTAGTTCGGAAATTAAAAATGTGCAAAAGAAAATCACATTGTTTGTTAAACAGCAGCCTATCGAGGAAATTGTGTCAAAGCTAGCAACAGTGGATGGCTTCTCAATAAATGCCATAACAAAAAGTGAGTTCATTAGAAAATCATTTTCTGAAAAAGGCATGTTATTACCAATAATGATATGATTAAAAAAACAATATGATTTAGCTAAACAAACTGTAGTTTTAGAGATGACAAAAGAAATATCTAGCAGGCAGCAATTTTCTTTATCGTTAGACGAATATACGTCTTTAAAAATCGACGTTATTTAAATGTAAATTTACACTTGTCAACAAAGTTTTGGAACCTGGATCACTTCCTGCAGAAAAAATGTTGATCTAGTTAAAAATAATCTGTCAGGTTTCAGTTTATCAATTAAAAAGCACATCATAGCTAGTGTCACTGACGGGGCATCCGTAATGAAAAAATTTGGACGGCTAAATGGTATTGATCATCAGCTGTATTATGCCCACGGACTTCATTTGGCAGTATGTGATGTTCTTTACAAGAGTCGGACTCTTCAGCAATATATATTGAATTTGAATCGCAGTTTCAAGATTCCGATAAAAATTTGAGTGATTACGATGAGTTTGATGATGCATTTGACTGTAAGACGTCAAACGTAACGCCTGATGAGATGCATGATTAGTCATACAGCTCATCAGGCGTTACGTTTATTGATGATTTACAAAATAGCGTAAATATAGCCTTAACAATTCAGAAAGTTTGAAAAGTGGTTGGAATGTTCCGCAAATCATCTCTTAAAACTGAAGTTTTACAAATGTACGTAAAATCTATGTTTCATAAAGAATTTAAGCTGATATTAGATGTCAAAACGAGGTGGAATAGTCTTGTTGCAATGCTAGAAAGATTCCTTAAAGTAAAAACATGTATACCAAAAGCAAAGATTGATTTAAAAGAAGTTCTCAATATCCCTGAAGATGAATATGCGATTATGAACGACAACAATTTCTCTGCAACCTCTAAAAATTAGAATAGAAAGACTTGGTAGAAGTAATGTTACTCTACTTAACGCAGAAGGTGTAATGATATTCATTTTAGACGATTTGGCGGAGAAAAAAATTTTTATAGCTAATAAACTGCTTCAATCTGTGCAGCAGAGAATTGAAGAACGCAGAAATGCTACTTTAATTCACTACTAAAATTTTTAAGCCACCCAATTAGTTGTAATCAGGAATCAAATATCAACTCTAAACTACTCTTACCGTTCAAACATGCATTAAAAGCAACAGTAAAAAAAATACGTACATAGAGGATGCTAGCACTAGTTCATCAAATAATGAAATAATTGAAGTGAGTCGTGATAATGAAAGCATGGTTTCTGACCCGTCAATACCTCAACCTGTTGCTCCAAATTTATTAGGCAAAAGCGACTATTTGCAAGTAGAAAAAGCAGCTCTAGAAAACATTAGCAATTTAAAAAATCTCACAGAAGAAATCAAACTTTTTGAGGTAACTGGAAAGCGTAGCGAAAGTTTAGAAGAATATACTCAACATTAATGACCGTCAATGGATTGGATAAATTGAACGGATGGGATGCTAAATTTGCGGGAAATGAGAGACCCTATTTTCAACCAATTAATCGGTATTTTAAACTTTTTCCTAAATATTTTGTTCCAAATACGCATCGGAGTGTAAATATTTTTTTAATGTTTATTCACCTCCCCAAGGCCGAGAAGACCACTACAAACCAGGAGGCTACTTAATTGTGGTTATATATTGATTAATATTGCCATAACACAGCAGAGCGTACTCCCCCCGGAGCATTTTAGATTTTCTTTTTCCTCCCCCTGTCTACCTTTTTTAGTATTTTCGAAGGAATGTAAAATGGTTCTAATTTTTTAACATAAAAAGTATTTTCATCAACTATTATTAATCAAAAAGCAATGACGCAATTTAATAAAATGGGTTCAAACGGAGAAAAATTCAAAAAACTTTTAATAAAAACTAATTTCTTTTATTTAAAAAATTCTTCTTCTCAAGATTAACAGTTTCAGTTTGACTAGGTACTAGGTAGGTATTCTCTTTTAAACAAAAGAAGACGTTCAAATTTTACACTTTTTTTTAACATAGACCAGTACACATCAGAATAGACGTACTTATTTAAGTTGATCAAAAAATCAATCAAAAATAAAGTAAGTCGAAAATTCTGTGGATCAAAAATTTAATATGTAGAAAAATTGGTACTTCATGCTATAATCTGATGTAAATATAGTATGTAAATATAAATATAAAGCAAAATTTGTCAAATAGCCAACTATTAAAATTTTCTTGCATATGCTGAATCTTTCTACATAACATTTTCTACATAACACTTATTTAATCAATAAAAAAATCCGTGCACCAAATATTCTATTGACGGTATCTTGTTTTTATAGGTTCGTAATGAAATATGTTACTAAAACCAGAGAAATATAGATAATTATACGACTAATTTTGCGACTAAATCCTGTGAATCTAATCAAATCAAAAACCCTATGACGTTTAATTTATATATTTCTCTTATTAGGCGCTTTACCAGCGCATCTACCTCGTTTTTATGTTGAAAAATTGTAATAATAATTGTTTATTGAAAAGTTGGTTTTATTTAAGAGCAAAGTATCTTTTTGTTAGTGGTAACAGTAACGGTCTTTTAGAACTAGTGTCTTTCACCAAAATTTTAAATCCATTTACCATTAAAAACAACAACAAAAAAAAACAAATAAAATATATTCCCTGTAAAGAAAGGAAAGTCTAAAAAATCAGACAAATCAAATGATAACATTATGTTAAGTTACTCTTGAACTAATTTAATTACAGGTGTTTGTACTGAAGTGTTTTCTATGGATCCTTCCGTGCCCATTCGGTGAGGATCTTGAGATGGATAATGCAAACCATGACGCATTGAAGGTCCGTTAGAAATGGAAAATCGAATACCAGATGGTTGTACTTGATTAGAGTAACTTCCAGAAGGAGGTGGAAACCTTTGCATAAAAGGGGGAGGACCGGGAGGAAAACCACCACCCATATTTGGAGGCGGTGGCGGAATCCCTTGAGGATGAGAAGAACTCATGTGAGGCGAAAACATCGGAGGAGCATTTGAATAAGCAGCAGGTAGAGGAATACTTGACGCGTTTTGTTCAGACGGCGACTCATCAAAAAGATTTGGGGGCTCCATAATAGGGGCATCCTCTGTAGGTATTGGCGGTAATGCTGTATAAAAAAACATTTACATAAAGTAAAAAATATTTAATGGCATATAAAAAAACATTTGCATAAAGTTAAATATATTAACATAAACCCATAACAATTTCTTTGTAAAAAACAAAATACCGTCAGGTAGTCCCGGGACAGGCGGATATTCCTTAAGTCTATCACCCTTTTCATCTTTTCCACCACTTCTTTGCTCTTGAGAACGACCCCAAAGTACCTTAAGACGTTTTCCTTTGATAATCACTTTATTAAAAGATCGTTCGGCAGCCATCTCAGCTGCTTGACGTGATGTATAACAAATAAAGCCACAACTTTTGTTAGAAGCCACCACAACTGACCGAATCTCGCCATATTGATAAAAGAAATTTCTAAGAGTCAAAGTTAAATGGTTGTACACACATACAAAAAATTAATTAAATAGTTCTATTAACTTCATTAATTCATAAATAAATTAAAAAAAAAACCTACCTCAAATCATCTTCTTTAATTCTTTCATCAAGACCACCAACATACAATGTTGTAATAGATTTATCAGATGGCGACTCTAACTTTGGCATGCTCTCGGCACGTTTCAACATTTTTGCTGCCACTGGATCATTAACACCATAAAATCGATCTTTAATATTTTGATTAGATAATGGGTCATCAGGAGCATTCGGCATTTCATGCCTAATAAGTAAATAAAAAAATTTAAGAAAATGGACAGGAAGGTACCTTTCCTTTGCATATTTAGTTAAAGAGATTAGTTTAAACTCATCCCTAATGTAAAAACATGAAGCTCAACGAATATAGTTTTTACTACATAATCTCTTTGAAAAACATACAAAGGTAAGGTACTCCAAAAGTGCCTCACTTAAAAAATTTGTTACCTGTAGGGACATTCCTCTCCTCGCTTGCATTCACCTTTAACCCAAAATGAGCAGATATGGGGTCTGTTTCTTTTATAATAGGGTGTTGTGCGCGCCAACTTCATTAATAAGTCGCTAGCGGCCTGTGACTTACCCAAAGTTCCAGCAGCAACTGTACCATCTGTATTTGCTAACTAAAAAATATATTTTTTAAATATATTTATAAAAACATAATTTGCACTCAACTTAAATAATACATTTAATTTACAAAAACTTCCTTAAAAAGTTAATAGTTCATAAATCATGTCATACAGTTTTTCAATTCCTCCTCTCATTTGTCAAATATTTGTTGAATCAAATGGCTTTCTTTTAAAAAACTTGATTTTTCATTTGCCAATTTTTAATATTTTCATGTCATTTACATGCTATAGTAATACTTCATGTAAGTAATTGTTAAGTTACCTCATGTCAGTAATTCTTGTGTTACCTCATGTCAGTGATTCTTGTGTTACCTCATTTCAGTAATTCTTGTGTTACCTCGTGTCAGTAATTCTTGTGTTACCTAATGTCAGTGATTCTTGTGTTACCTCATTTCAGTAATTCTTGTGTTACCCTATGTCAGTAATTCCTGTTTTACCTCTTGTTTTATTTAATATTAATTTATTTGCTAATTTTTTTAAATAAATAATTGTTTGAATAATAAATATTATTGTTGTGGTTAACTTTTTTATGGCTAAATAAATGGATTATTAATAATAATTACATAAATAAATGTAATCATTAATGATACAAACAATATTGTTAATTAAAATTATATTAACAACATTAATAACAATAATGATATAAATAAATTTAATAACATTTCATGCACATCACATTTTATTCCCACCACGTCCCTGGTAGTACTGCGCTCAACTTGTTTCTCCACGCAGCGGCCTTGTTCGCCAAGGTTCGTGTTTCGGAGTTATAGAGTTGAGAGAGGGTTATAGCCATAAGTAGCCTCCTCATCTGTAGTGGCCTTCTCAGTCTTGGAGGTGAATTACAAAAAAAAAAATTGTTGGTACTATTTAGATATTTATTATAGTAATTAAATGTATTACTATATTTTTAAATAATTATTTAAAAACATAGTAATACTTTTATATGTAGTTGTAATTGCATTTAAAAAATATTTACATGTAATACAATTATAGCATCAGCTTATCACTTTTTTCCAGGTACCATGATAAAAGTGATGGAATTAAAAAATACAGAATTATTATTAATGCCAGAGATCACTCAGGTGGTAAACACTACAAGAATATACTTGATGTTTCTATAGAAAAACAGAGTAGTGATAACAACATAAAAACAGAGTAGTGACAACAACATAAAAAACAAAGTAGTGACAACAACATAAAAACAGAGTAGTGACAGCAACATAAAAACAGAGTAGTGACAGCATAAAAACAGAGTAGTGACAACAACCTAAAAACAGAGAAGTGACAACAACATAAAAAACAGAGTAGTGACAACAACATAAAGAAGAGAGTAGTGACAACAATTTAAAAAAGACAAGCCTTAACAAAAAAGTGAAAATATTTTTATAAGCAAAATAAAAAAAATGAAAAAATTACAAAAGAAATGTTTATTTTGGGTCAATTTGTGATAGCCTTTAACCTACCCAGATAATTTAAGAGCGGCTTTCCAAAACTTGTTAAGTCCATTTTTTCAAAAATTGAGTTTTTTCAACATTTTAATTGGTGTTTATTGGATGTTAAGACAGAAAAAATATCTTAAATTTCTGTCAAACTTTTTTTAACAACAAATTCAAATGTGGATGTTAACAACAAATAGAATTCAAGATATTTTGAACACATAAAATATTTAGACAGTAAATCTACTATCAAGTTTATAGAACAATAGAAAAATGTATTTAAAATATTTAAATGTTTTAACATTTTACACTAATACCTATGTGTGAAAACTTTACAATAGTACATATCAAAAGTGTTAAAACAACAAAAATAAAATAAATTAACCTCTTTCTCTAACGTCTGATGAAAAAATTCTTTATTTACATCTGATCTTGGCAACGTGTCTGCAATAGCAAGAGCTTTATCACGAACTTCTATGGGCAGCCCTATTTATGAATAAAAATTATTGCATTAATTAAAAATTATATACCCATTATTATCAAATTATTTAATTTATTACATCATTTCTCTATTTCTATTGCATATTTAAAAAAAAACTCAACAAAAGTACCATATTCAAGATCTAACAGACATGTTTGGCACACATTCTTTAGTTTTGCGCAAGTTTGACATATTTCAGTCTTTTTGTATCGCATTTTAGCACCTGGGCACCATTTAAAAATGGTAAATGGTCGAACACAGATCTAAGAAGTATTTTAAAATATTACCACAAATTAAAATCTTTTTAAATATCTTATAATAACTTGATGCAAAAATGTAGAATATTATTTAATAATAATAATATATTATAATAATTATAATATATAATATAAATTTCTCTAACTATTCAAAAAAAAAAAAAAGTTTTTATACAATAAAGTGTAAATAAAAAAAATTACAGAAGTAAATAAAAAAATAAAAATAAAATAAATGATTCAAAAAATATATATAAAAAAACAAAAATATATATAAATGAATTTGATATTAAAAAAAAAACACAAACACTTTGCCTCTAATTAGTTTTAATTATTGTAACCGTAGAGTTATAATGAAAAAGCACATCAAAAATCTGACGATACATTTTAATGTAGGATTAAAAGCATCAAAGTTACATCTTAAAGTAAAATAACTGTCATTTTCTAATTTTTAACAATAATATTGTAGAGTAAAACAAATTTTTACTATATCTATATATACTATATCTTTTACTATATCTTCTTTTCTTCAAGCTTGTTTCATAACTTAATTTACAGTTTTGTTTTTTATTAAATTAATAAAACAACATCAAAAAAAAGTATTTACTGTAGATATGTATTATTTTAACTTTTATTAAGAATTATAGGGTGATGACTATTCATATGTCCAACATTCATAAGTCAATTTTAATGTATATAATTAAACCATAACTACAAGCAATTATCAATTGAATTAATGGATCTAACTTTGAAACATGTCTAAGTGATTGCTATCTGGTAGATGTATGTTGCAATACGTAGTTATATGCTGCAAAATAAACTTTTATCTTATTTAAATGTTTAGTGAAATAAGATTGCAACATGTTAGTTCATTTAAATCTTATTGGTTGAAGATAGTTGACTTAATCTAAATAAACTCAATTTTCTGAGTTTTTTCAATGTACATCATTGATATCATCATCGATGTAGACATGAGACAATCTTTACAAACTATTTCATTTGGAAGGTTGGTGTTAAATAGATTTTGGTGTTAAACAGTTTTTTAACTTGAATCTCCTCATATCTGGTTCTTTCATTGTTATTATACATTTTTTCATGGTTTGCAAGACTTTTTGAATTTTTGAAAGTGTTTTAAAAGAACGCATTAGCTTAAAATTCCACAATTATCTTGAAGTATCAACTCATTAAAGCCAGCATTTTAAAACCTGAAGATTGAAAATATTTTTTTCGAAATTTAAAATGCCTCCACTTTCAAAGTGTTTAGACATGTTTTTTTGTAGAGCAAAATGGAAATTTAAAAGTTATTAATTTTTTATTATATTTTTCTTTACTTTTACATTATATTTTCTTCAATAAGTTTTCTACTCACAGAATTCTGCTTTTTATATTTGTTTTTGTAACTTTCCTTATGTTATTTTTTGCGTAACTTAATTTTTTATTTTGTTCTAATTTGCAATTTGAAATAGATTTATTTTATTTAAATATATTGTGCAAAACTGTTTATTCTTTATATATATTTTTTATTATTTCATCATTTGTTTATTTTATTATTTATTTTAGGTAAATTATTTATTTACATTATGTAAATTAATTATTTATTTTAAGTAAATTTATTTATTTAGGTAAATGAATTATTTATTTTAGGTAAATAAATTGGTTATTTTATTATTTTGTTAAAAACTTAAATGTTTGTTATTTTGAGAAGTTTTCCTTTCTTTAAAGGGATCCCCAACTGCAGAAACATGTTGTGTTCATATTAATGAAAAAAAATTATTGGGCTGAATTTTTTCATAAAAACAAAATAAACATATTAAAAAAAAACAACAACTTAGTAGTTTTAGTCAAAGTTTACACTCTCCATTTTGGTCAGAATTTAAATTCCTTAAAATATTTTTTAAGCAATCAGCAGATTTTTATTCAAGAGCGTTTAATTTTAAAGAGTTTTCGAATATGATGTCAATGTAAAATTTTGATGAGAAATCTAGAAATTCTTTATATATATATATTTTTTTATAAGTTACTAAACAATTTGTTTAGTTATTTTATTTTCTAATTTTCACAAAAACTCACACTAAAATTATGAATAAAATAATTCCGATATTCTAAGCTTGTTTATAAATTGCTATAAACTGATATTTTATTATATTTAATGTTATTAAATAATAATTATTTTTACCAAGATTCTGTAAAAAATATTGTTTGGTCTAAACGTATAAAAGTATAGTTAACAGCATTTATTTTGTTAACTTTTCATCAGGTACACATATTCTCGAAATTCTTATTCAGTCATGCGAGAATATATTTAATGAAATTTATTTTGTAAAAAATGTATTACATAATATTATTATTTTTTAAATATCGCATACATTTTATAATTTTAAAAAAGGTAGGCATTATTTTTAGGTTAATTAACTTTTTAAATAAGTACACCATATTTAAACATAATTTGTTATCAATTACTTTGACTATTTCACCTAAAAATCTAGTGTAATTTAATTTAATAAATTTTAGATATAAATTAAATTAATTTATGAACTCTATATAAATAAATATCAAAATACCTATTTTTTATTTAAAAGAATGCTTGCAAAAACCTAATTCCTCAGTCAATGCATGCACACTCCACTGCGCCTATGGCTATATCAGTCAAAATATATGCATGCATTAATACAATGCGTACATAAATGATTACGCCTTATATTAATGCGTACGTATAATGCGTATTATGTACACATTAAAGAATAATAGTTGTAAAACAAAAAAACTTTCAAATAAAATAATTAAAAAAAAAAAAAGTATTTAATAAAGGGTTTCAATCCCTAAACTATGCAGGGTGTTAGCCAGCTAAATGGCACTGCATATACCGTGGAATTCTCAATGGGTTTAAAACTCACAAAATTCATTGCCCTCTTTTTTATGACAATTTCAATAAAAATTACATATCTTTTAAAGAACAATAACAATAAATATTAGGAATATTTATTGTCATTGTTCTACAAAATTTATACCGCAAAAACATGGTAAAAATATATTCCTGGCTAAAACCCTGCCTTGTCGCCTCTAAATTGGAGCAATACAACATCCTCAGCAATTTACTAATAAAACTTATGCGTGGACATGGAAACGGCAGGAAAAATAAAGTCAGCAAACAACTGTCGACCTTAAACTGTTAGAGGTCAATATTAGGTCTGCAAAAATATTTCAACACAAAGGTTTTACTATAAAACATAAAAACAAGGTCAGCAATTTTTTGCCAACCTCAAACACTTTAAGGTCGAAAGTTAGGTCGGCATAGCCAAATGAACAAATATAATTATATAAATAAAAAAGTGATGTAAAAGTAATGATATATATATATATATATATATATATATATATATATATATATATATATATATATATATATATATATATATATATATATATATATATGTATGTATGCATACATGAACAAACCAACATATGAGCCTATATAAACATATATGCATACATTATGTATAGGGACATAATATAATATACATATATGCATACATAGATGTATAAGGACATAATATACTTGTTACATTAAAATTATACAAATATATTTTACAAAGATAGCAATTTATATTTTCGCTTTCATCTTTAAAAATAAAAATAAAAAAAATATAGGAAAATCATTCCTTTTAATGTCAACTTATTTTTATATTTTTTAAAACAGTTTAAGTTGACAAGTTGACATTAAAAAGATTTTTCATAATATTAAATAACTAAATTTAATACTACGCTTTTTAAATATTTAGTATAAACTTTTTAAATAACTAGGCTTTTTAAATATTTAATATAAATTTCTTACTTTTCTCAACATTAGTATAAATGAATTAAAAATATGTTAAATTTTTGTTATTACTAATTCTTAAATTTGTAATTGCGGCTTTGCAATTAATGAATTTTTGTTTTTAAAAGGTTAGTGAGTAACAAACAAGAAATATAACTTATTGCAAAAATATTACTTTATTTTTGATAATTTTCATAACAAAATTACCAGCAATTTTGTTATCAAAGCAAAAATTATTTTAGGTTTCCAAGTACCATTTATTAAAAAAATACAGGTTGAGCTTTTACCTGCTTTATTAAAAAAAAATTTAACGTACGATAAAAAAAAGTGTAGCAGTCTAAGAACACATTTACAAGGAATTTTTCTTTTTAGTAAAAAAATTTTTTTAATTATTATTGCCATAAAAATAAGATTTTTTTCCAAGAAAAAATAAAATTTTATTATTAAAAAATATTAGTAATATTTTTAATTTTTTCTGGATTTATTTCATTTGTAATAGACTTTATATAGAACGGAATTGTTAAAAATAATCGCTTGAATGACAATTATTTTCTAAATAATTGTCATTCAAACAATAAATTGGTTTTTATAACATTAATTACTTCTTTTATCGTCTAAAAGACATCTTTAAAGTAATTTAAATACTAAAAACTTGCTAAACTGAAATTGTTTAGGCATAAAACAGTTTAACACAGAGATGTCTTGAGAACAAAAAACATTAAACTAAAAAATAAGAAAAAATGTTACAAAAATGTGACCAAGCATTTTTTATAATAAAGCCAAGAACAAATAGTGCGAAATGTTTTGATATTAGAAATCTTTGTTGATGTTTTTTCTTTGTTAATATAATAAAAATTGAAAGATAGTTTTATTTATTTTTCTTATAATTACTTATTTTTACTTTACTCTTTAAACTTTTTGAACATAAAAAATAATAATAACAAACTAACCTTGCATTCTTTACCAAATTTATCTTTAAGCTAATTAAGATATAAATATAAATGAATAAATTTTTAATTTTTTCTAAACCAAAAAGTTTGTCGTATACTTAAATATTACACCTAACAACCAAAGCAAAATGTCAAAAGCATAAAAAAAACTTACCATTCTCACATATGGATTGTCTCCTAAACATGTTTGGCAGAGAATCGGAAAATCCTAAATCATATTTTATTAGGCTGTTAGTTACTTAAGGGAACTATTACATTTTTAAAGTGATAGAAATCTATTGCAATATTAAAGTGATAAAAATCTATTGCAATGTTAAAGTGATAGAAATCTAGTGCAATGTTAAAGATAAAAAAACTAGTGAAATGTGTGATAAAAACTGCTGTATTGTTTTAGCTCCCTAAGGACAAGGCCCTACTTCAGTTAGCTAAGATAATAATTTTTTTCTTTAATGGCATAATGGTGCAGTGGTTGTACATTCTTTACAAACAAAAAGTACTGAGTTTGATCATCACATTGCTAGTAATATAGTGCTTAAATTACTTTGTTTTAACCTAAAAGAAGAGGAAGACCAACAAGCAAGAAATTTAAATTTTACAGGGTTTATGCGAAATATAAAACACTTTTTAAGAAAATATAAAGCATTTTTTAAGAAAATATAAAACATTTTTTTAAGAAAATATATAACATTTTTTAAGAAAATATAAAACATTTTTTAAGAAAATATAAAACATTCTTTAAGAAAATATAAAACATTTTTTAAGAAAATATAAAACATGTTTTAAGAATATATAAAATAAGTTTTAAAAAATTATAAAACATTTTAAAAATATATATGAAACATAAAAAATAAAAAACTTTTAAATAAACTAAAATGCTTTATATTTTCTTTAAGAAAATATAAAACATTGTTGTTGAATCAATAGTGCATTTATGATACATTAAGTTATTCATAAATTTCTAAAGAATAAAGAGTATTTTTTATATAATTATAACTCATTATACTTGAAGATATAATATAAAAAGCAAAGTATCCTCTTTAGTAAAGTTCTTGTCTTGCTACGCTTTTCAAAACCCATCTTCTCATATTATAATACCAACCACAAAAATCAACGCCAATTGTCGGTATAAGCGAATGTAAAGTAGCCTTAACTTCATTGCTAGTTTTTGGAAACGCTCTAATAGAAGTATAATTAGCTTTAAGACAACTAAAGTATTCCTCAATCGGGTTCAATTGTGGTGAATAAGGTGGCAAAAAGTAAACTGAAACACTGGATTGGCTGAGCAAATTGATTACATCTTCTCTACGGTGAAATGCACAATTATCCAATACTAGTACAGAATGGGAATTCGTTTGGAAATATGGTCTTAAATTGTTGGTTATAAAATCGCAAAAAAGATTGCCATTATAGGCACCATCCACTATCTTAAAGCTTAAAATACCATTAACTGTTATAGCGGCCATGAGACTTACATTCTTTCCACGATTTGCTGGCACTGTAACAAAACATTTTCTTTAAAAATGTTTTATATTTTCTTAAAAAATGTTTTATATTTTCTTAAAAAATGTTTTATATTTTCTTAAAAAATGTTTTATATTTTCTTAAAAAATGTTTTATATTTCGCATAAACCTCTGTAATCATCACTTTGTTCCTTGTAATATTATGCTCAGCTTGTTTCTCTGTGCAGCAATCTTGTTCATCAAGGTTTGTATTTCATATTAAAAGAGCTAAGTGACCCCCTAGTCTTAGAGAGGAACGAAAATTAAGATTTGATTTTAAATTTTTTTTTCAGAGCTTTAAAAGTTAAAACTTTGAAAATTAAACCTTGACTAACGAACACTATACTAATAAATAAGTTAAGCGCTATATTATCAGAATGTGATGATCATATTCAATACTTCTTCTTTATAAAGCACTATACCACTATTCTATTTATGTTTTCATTCAATTCAATGAGACCATTAATCCATACATGCATATATCAATTCATGTTTTTATAAATATTAGAAACAAAAAAGTTCTATTAACAGTGATACTATTCGGCTGAATTTCTTGCAAAAAGTAAAACTGCACACAAATGGATAAACTTAAGCTTTGATGACTTTTTTTTTTATCTTAAATGATTTCCATTTTGAAAATGCAAAAATACTACATTATTAGCTTTGATATTTTGTTCAAAATGCCATTATAAGTATATATACTTGTATCTCTATTACATTTACTTTATTCCATATAAAAATTCTGCTTTTGTTTTATTTGTATATACTTTTTTTGGGTGTGTATTTTTGCAATTATTTGAAAATATTTACTTATAAAATAATTATTTTTATATTATATATAAAGAATAATCATACAAAGATTTAACTAACTTAAGCAATTTTAGGGGTTACCAGGATTTCAATATTTTGTGCAAATTAGTTTTACAACTCTTTTAAATATAAAATCTACAATTAGTAGATATCACATTTTTAGTGTTTATACATAATTTTTAATACAGTTTTTTGTGCAAATTGTAAACAGCAGCCATTTTGCCGTCAATAAACAACCTTTAAAAATTGAAACTTTTCCAAATATACAGTATTCTATTCTGACAATAAACAAAAAGGTTATTAATGCTTAAAGATTAATCAACTGCTTTATACACGTATTATGCACGTATTACATAATTACTATTAGTTACTATAAATAATTAACAATCTTTTGATAAGTGTATCATGATTAATTCATCTGTCACAGACTTTAAAACACTTGTTATTTTTAAAATAAATATTGAACAATTAAACATAATAAATATGTCAATATTTATTAATTAATATCAAATGAACATAATAAGTATGGGAATATTTAATAATTGAACATAATAAGTATGGCAATATTTATCACAAGTAATATAATGACGCTATCTAGTCTTTAAATCCATAGGTACATGAGTACTGTTATAACAGCTGCAACAAGAGACTCTGCTGAAGTTAGACTCATCAGCAAGGATACTGATTCTTTTCAGCAAAATTAGCTAGTGAAGCCATTTGTTGCATCCTCTTTTACCAAAGTTAATCTCACTATGAAGAACATTATTAATTGTACATTTGGATTTTATGAATTTGAAATGAGAATAGCTAAGAAGAGGATAAGCATGTGTGACACAAACTTCAATAGTTTTCAAATGTTTGTGACCGAAAGAACATTTTGTCTCTTCAAAGTGCTTACTATTACAAGCAAGGAGAACACCTAGAGTGCTTTTCATCAAAATTTAAATCGGTGGATGTTAAAAGGGCGGAAGTCCAACAATGTAAATTATTGGAAATGAAAGAAAAACTGCATTTTCCCCCATAGTAAATTTTTGCTAATGGTTTAATAATTTTTTTTTGAAGAGGATAATGTTTTTTTTGAAGAGGATGTTTTTTTGAAGAGGATAATGTTTTTCCCCTTAAAAAAAAAAAAATATTAAACCATTAACAAAAATTTATTACAGTGGGAAATGCAGTTTTTTTTTAATTTCCCAAAAGTTTACATTGTTGGACTTCGGCCTTTTTAACATTCACCGATTCATTTGTAGAATTTAGTTAACAAGAAAGTTGTCTGATATGATAGTGCTGAACACTGCTCTTACTTAGATACAACAAAATTCTCACCAAAGATCAATGATCAAGATCAGTCTATGATGATGACTGATACAGTCTAGGATGATCTAAAATAGTCGATGCATTAATTTTTCCAGCAACAGATTTATCCATCATCTACTAAGGAGGTCAGTATTTTTATAACAGTTGGTATTTTTTAAATGAATGATAATTAAAATCTAATAATCATTGATCATCTCAAATATTTTATTTTCTCAATTAGCTGACTTACATTTTCCATTTAAAACTTTTATTATTAAAATATATAAATTCCAAAAAAAAATTTTTACCATATTTTTTCGACCATGAAAAGTCAAAATTTACACTGGTCTCTAATTAAATCTGATTTGTTTCTAGCTTTCACTAAAACTCTCAGAAAATTATATAGAACAAGATGAGTTTTATGGAATAGAATTTCCAAACATTAATTTAAATTTTATTGGTTACACAAGATATAAAAAGAGAAGCAACCTTTGACAATCAGAAAGTTTCTAAAAGCGATGATGAAATTGAAAAACATGATATAAATAAACAGTAGTGTATATATAATAGGGATCACCCTAATAGATATACACTACTGTTCATAATTATTAAAATTTTTTTTAAATAAAACATTTTTTAAAAATGCTTAATTAAAAAAATGTCTAACTTTTATTTTTTGCATAAATATATTATTTAAGTAATAAAAATGTAATTTGATTAAAATAGTTTGATAAATATCATAAGTTTAAAAAATACATGCTTAAATTGGTTGAAGGGAGATTTAACGTTTATTTAGATCAATTAAGTAAGGACACATGTTCTTACTTATTTGATTGGGTTGATGTTACATCAGCTCAGGGTTTTGGCTAGGGCAGACAATCTTTCTATTAAAAAAAATTCTGGTTTGGTTTACGAATTATTTTTTTATGATAACAAAATATGGTAAATCTTTCTCAAGTGAAAAAATAAAAAATATTTAACAAATAAAAAAATGCTCCCTTATAATACCTGGCGTTTGATTTGTAAAGCACATTTATGAAGAAAAAAGTCAGTGATTACTAGTTACCAACCCACTTGGATTTAAACTTCAAAATGTAAAAATTTTGACATTTTTATGGGTTAAAAATGCAAAATATAATTATAAATGTACTATAAAAATTCAATTAGATACCAAATAATGCAAAATAAATTTTGAACATTGTTTATTGAAATTAAATTTTTTTCTTAAAAACTATACAAATGAAGTTATGACCAAAAATCTAAATTTTTAATTGTTTTTTAAATGAAATAGAGGCATATATTACAAAAAAAACGACAACTGATACTTCCAATACATCTATGTTCAAATAAACTATCAAGATAAAAACTTTTTATAACTGCCGTGGTTATTTATATAAAACACAACAAAAATATAAAATATTGCAACTTAAAATCACTTTTTTATGTGAAATTTTTAAATAATTTGCTGGACCTAATTTTGTTTCAAATAACTCCATCTTTGCGATTATGTCCAACCACAGATGCTGAAGCTTCTGTTGAAAAATATGTAAAACAAGTTTTACATATTTTTCAACATTTTTGCTGTAACACTCATGAATTAAATAATTTTTATGTACTCACTCTTGAATTAAATAAATTATTTTAATAAATTCAAGTATTTCAACTTTTTCAATTAGTATTAAAACACTCTTACATTTATGATGGATAATCATTTTCACTAACATTGGCTTCATCTTCACCATTTTTCTCAACAGTTTCCCCTACAAAATCATCTTCTTCATCATGAAAGTCTTCTATGAGGCTTTTTAAATGCAAAATTTTATTAAACACTGTCCTTCTGACTTCTTTTCACCTTTGTCAATTAAGATTTCAATAAGAAAATTTTCACTGTTAAACTTAATACCAAAACAACTGGGAAATTTTTAAAAACCTTTACAATAAATTCTGCAATCAGCTTTAGACTTTTAGTTGGTTTGAAAATAGATTCATAATAGATACATAACAATTCCTTTCATAACCACAGTCAAGTAGCCTCCATATCTGTACTGGCCTTCTTGGCCTTGGGGAGGTGAGTTAAAATTAAAAAAAAATAAAAAAGTTATAAAAATGGTAACTCTTATTGTTTCATTAAAAACGGTTTAATTATTATTCAATAAGATTTGTTCCTACAACTTTTAGATGGAAAACTATCTTGGAAGATATAAAAAATACCAATGCAGCAGTAAAGTTTCAGCTTTTGGGAATACTTGTTGCGTTTGTATTTACTGTAAAATATTTGTTAATCTTAGTCTGTCAATATTAGGCTGAAGAAAAATTCCTTTTGAAAATTAGTAAGTTGAGAGTGTAATGAAAGTGATAATATCATAGATCTCACATGCAATCAATATTATGATGAAAATAGATTTGTATTAACAGATTATATTGGCTTTACAGGGTTTTACTTGCGTTTTTTTAAACATTTTTTATATATTTACATTAGGAGATAAAATATATTTTGATTTCAATCATAAAAATCGGCCCTTTTTGGAGCTTATTGTTATGTTTAAGAAACAAACTCTTTTTTTTTTTTTTAATCTGCTTAATCTATATATATATATATATATATATATATATATATATATATATATATATATATATATATATATATATATATATATATATATATATATATATATATATATATATAAATATATAAACACACACACACACACACACACACACACACATTCTTTTTAATAACTTAATAAATAAACTTTTTCTACTAACTTACAATGTAAATTGATGAAAAATAAAACTCATTATTTGTAAGAATACAAAATTCTTCCAGAATATAGAAACGTCTTATACTTCTATAATAAAGAAATTTAGAACTAAGTATTGCATAGCTTAAAAAAATAATAGTTTTTCAACAACGACATCCTTAAAAATAAGACATACTATGCATATATATTTATACTATTAATTAACATCATTTATAAAATATTATAGAGCAGTATAGTTAAAGAGTAATCGAAGCCATTTTAAATAATTTCATTCAATGATAAAAGTAACTAAATTCAAAATATATATACAAAATGTAACAGGCAATTTATTCAAAATATATAAAAACTGAAAACAAAACAACAACTAATGAAATCAGATTTAAAATACTTACTGACTGTTCCCAATTTTGTCTGTTGTATAGATTAGCACCTTTAGATGTTGCCATCGTATTGGAGAAATTGCCTTAAGGAACAGTACCTAGAACATTAGGAATTCAGTGAAATTCAATTCTATGACGTCACAACTATTTATTAAAAAGTTCCTCCAACTATATTCCTTTCTCTACCACTTAAAAATTTATTTTTAAAAAACTGATATTATCAACAAAGGCGTAAAATTTTTTGCGGCGTTATTCAATAGACTAAAAAATATTTTTACTTAGCCTAAAGATAAAAATACCTCGGTTTTTACAGAAAATCTTTATGAAAAAATTATTGTGAGAAGCAAAGGGCCGAAACTACCGCAAGGACACCCAGGGTCTCATTTTTATTTTTATTTTCAAGTTAAACTTTTAGGTGGAGCAAAACTTAAGTACGGCTACCATTATTTGAATGACAGTTATTAGTTTTCAAGCTCAAAAGTTGAGCTTAGAACGATAACTATTAGATTAGTTCCAATTGAAAATTTTTTTTCGTTAAAAAGAGATATCGTATTACAGGCTCCGTGAAACGTTCTTGCCCCAGGGCATTCGGATTTCAGTTTTGGGTCTGCTTAATCCCCTACTCTCTAAAACTGTTTATGTAATTATGCACTATGAAAGAGCTCAGTTTGAGTCAACCATAAGTTCTATTAAGAAAATGGTTAAAATACTCCACATTCACAGACAAATAGACAAGTGCACCTGTTCCTACTAAAACTGCAAAACTTTGTAAACAAGTGTTTTAATAATGTTAACGCTAGAGAATGTAATGTTTTTATTTATCCCTAGGAAAGATACTTGTGTTGATATTTGTTTAAATTTCATATGCGTATTATATTAAAGATATGGCAATTAATTATATACTGCTAAATTGTTCGTAGTTTCTCAAATATAATAAGTTGAGAGCTGCGGCTTTTTATTTAATTTACGATCAAGTTTTTTGTGCGGAAGTCGTCCCCAAGGAAATATTTTTGCTATCATTAATGATTGAAATAGTTTTGCTCTTATTACAATTTTCTAAAGAGAGTATAAAAATGTTTTTCCAAAGGGATTTTTCCGTGTATCAACCATTAATGATTGTTTAAAAAGAATATTACAATTGATTATGCAAGTATATCAGTTGTATCTTGAGCGACCGAAACGCAGTGGTTAGGGCGCTTGCCTCAGAAGCTAGTGATACCTGGTTCAATGTTACTTCTGGGCAGGTTTTATAACATTGGTAAGGAAGGAGGCGTCAACTTTCTTTTAAATGCTCTTCCGCGGTGCTCTGTGATTAGACCGTATGGACTTCTTGGGGCACCTAAAATAAAATAAAAAAAAATATATATATATAATAGCCATTACAGTCTTTATATATTAGCTTATAAAATCTTATTCGAGTAATATGGTGGATGCAACATAATTTCCTGGCCTGCAATTTTTTATTCCTCAAAACAGCATACAGCCTGACCTTATCCGTTAATGTTCTTACTATTGAACATCTCTGACCTTTTTTCTTGGATTTTTGTCTTGAAATTATCCCGTTGCTGACAATACTTGAAAAATTGATACATAATAATTCCTTTCATAACCACAGTCAAGTAGCCTCTTTATCTGTACTGGCCTTCTTGGCCTTGGGGAGGTGAGTTAAAATAAAAAAAAAATAAAAAAGTTATAAAAATCATAAAGAAAAAGTTAAATGAAATCATTTAAACTTTCTCTTTATGATCTGTTTTGTCCCTCTGTGGAATTGAGTTTGTCTGTAAGCATTGCAGCTTATACTTTGTCTCTCAAGCCATGCTCAAAAAGCAAGTCAGGTCTATTCATTCCAACGTTATTAACTAAATGTTTATTATCCCTTTGCGTGTTAGAGCTGTTCACATTAGCCGCCAAGTGCAATAGAAGGTTGATAGAGGGCGTCAATATTCCAACTGATGCGACCATTTCAGACATTTAGAATGCCCTATTCTGGTCATATCAATTGATGATTAGAATAATGGCCAAATTATAGCAATAGTTGACCAAAAACTTGTTTTTTCACAAAACACTAGTTTTTATTCCCCATGCTCAATATGTCAAATAAATAAAGCTCAAATTTAACAAACTTCATGTACTGTGTACAATTTAATCATTGTATCATTGTGTACATGTTTTTAGTATTTGGTTGCACCAGCAATTCTATTCTGCATACTTGCATAGTACTTGGTAATTAACTGAAAAATAGGTTTTATCTGCAGTGAAAAATAGGTTTTATCTGCAGTCCAAAAATCCTCTATTGGGCGCAATTCGGATACATATGCAGAGTTTTTTGTCTCTCGGCACGTACTTAATATTTTCGCGTTTTAGGTAATCTTAAACTTTGTTTTAATAATGCGTTGAAGCTAGATCAGGTCAGAACACATTTTCATCGTTTTTCTGAACCTCATTGATAAACTTTTTTAGTTTAACCAGATATTTGGAAATATGCATATCCTTGTTGACTGCTCGAAGAAGCAATATAATGCTTTTAGACTTTCTCAGGCTATGCAAACTAATAATTTGAATCGTATTTGCTTTTCCTTTTGAGTTGTACCTGATTAGGCATTGCGTCTAAATCAGAAGAATAATACCCTGTGTTGCCATAAAGGACAGCGTTGCTTAAAGGAAAAAACGACTCGTCATCAAGGATCACAATTTTTTCGACCAATTTTTGGCCAATTTTCGTTTTCGAAGTGCCTCTTGATTATTTGAGCTTTTAGACATACTTTAATTAAGTTTAAAAAAAAAAGACTCAAGTATAATGAGAGTCTCGCCAAAGCTCGATCATCTTATTGTGAAGATATACGCTTTCTTCGGTATTTTCTTTTAGGTTTTGGATTACCAGTTAAACCAACCCATATTTCAAAGCTAAAATTGAGTAAGCTCTCCAAAAGTAAATTTTCTCCAAGAGTTAAATTATCCAAGAGAATTTTAATTTCTGACCTTTTTTACGGGGAGATAAATCACTTTTTCTACTAAAGTAAATAAATAAAACAACGAAAAATTTGAAAAACGGAAAAAAACAAAAAAAACAATGTTAATTTTGTACAGGAATTTTGTACATAGACTGGTTTCAGGACCTCAAATCTAGTCATTTCTGTAAACTCTAAAATTAATATAATCAATCATCGTAATAATTATGCCAGTACTCTATTTAAAAAATTCTTGAATTGAAAAGAGAAAGTTACCTTGACACATTTTTATTAAATTTAATGCGTAGAATAAGAATAAAATAATAAATTTTTTATTGCAGGGAGTCCTACAAGAAAAAACTACATAAGTCAAATGTGGATGTTACCAATCAGTACCTAGTTGATTTTTTTTTTTATTATTCTTTATTACAATCATTATTACAATTTCTATTATAACTTTATGTGAAAAAAACGTAAGACATAAAAAAGAAATAAATAATATTTACAATAAAGATTTCGTTAACAAAAGAAATATAACAATAAATATAACAATGAAAATTAGGAATAAAGAATGCAGAAACTCGAAGAAGTCCTTGAGGTCTTGTCGTAGAGAACTGCTGGAATCAAAACGCTTTAAATGAATTCATTTTTATTGATTTTTTGTAAATGTTTATTCGTATTATATATTAAATGTATTTTTAAACACATAAAACTGTAATTCATATGTGAAAAATGTCAATAAACATGTTTAAATTAAGAACAAATTTTATTAAGAAAAAAAAAAAAAGGATTGAGGGTTTAAATTTTATGTCATCCTATAGAGGAGGGGGTAGGGGGTAGGAAAAAAGGACAACCGGTGACAAAGGTGGGAGGAGAGTGGTCAAATATTGCCTAAAATATGGTGACATCATTTATGGACCCCCCATCATTATGGCCCCCATTTAACCAAATAAATTGTAAAATTTGAAAATAGATTATATATTAATGTATTATTTTTTTATTATTCAAAAAAAATTACTTCCAATTCTTTTACTTACAACAACAATATACAACTATATACTTATTATACAACTATATACTTAGGCAAGTTAAAGTTGCTTTATGTCAGTAATAGAACTTTGAAAACAATGCAATTAGCGTAACACATCTTACAATAACAATAAGTTAAATAAAAAATATGTAGCAGTTACACAGCCACATATTTTTTTATTTCTTTGTAATTTATTAATTGGAGGGGAAGACAGGGCAAAAAATTTTGAAAGCCTTGAGTTATTGCAAAATTATCAGTCATGAAGCTGTCATGAAAATACTTTGTCAGTATGTTTATGTAATGATAATAATTCATTGACTGCATAAATTTTCAGTTTATAAGTAGAAAAGTTTGTAATAAAAATTTAAATAAAAAGTTTATGTACCTGGTCACGTGACCGGGTCAAGGTGACTTATTATGTCCAACTTTTTTTTTTTTTTTTTCTTCATATATTTTTAAAATTACATAGTTTTAACAATACATACTTTTATTACAAATAGTTTTAACAATATATACTTTTATTACAAATACAGTAAAAAAGCTTCGAAAATAACTGAAATAGGATATATTTGATAAGTCTTAAAAAAGGAAAAAATAAACCTTTAGTTATGTAGTCAAGGGAAACTCGCAGAAAACTGTATGAAGTCTTGTCATCGAGAACCTTTTTTTAAAATAATTTTATATACTTATAACTGTTTTATTTATTTCAATTATTTTTCAATATAATTAGTTGTGTTATTAGGAAGGAGCACAACCTAAACATAATTTATATATATACATATACACATACACACATATATATACATTTTTTGGGACATATTTTGATATTTGAATTCTCATACAAGATATTAGAAAATTTTCTTATAACTGCTTGTATCTAAAACGAGTTTTTTAAGAGTCTTTGATTCAATTTATATTTTTTAGGAGAGATATTGAGGAACTTTTTGGTAATAATTTGTTATACAAGTAAGGACAACGATATGCTATAGAGAATTGGGACAATTTTGTTTATTTGAAGGGTACCATATAGTCTCCAATTGCTCTAGTGCTAAATTTATTTATATTAGTTTTAAAAAAGTTATTTATAAATCGACTTGGAATAGTTCCCATTTTATGTTTGAACATAAACAAAATATTTTGATATATATTGATTTGGTAAATATTTAAAGCATTCATCTGTTTTAGTAATGGATTTGCATGAGTCAGTTTTTTTTTATAAAATATAATTCTTGAAGCGAGTTTCAGTCGTCTATAGAGAGAACTTAATTTAAAATTATAAAATTTTAAAAGCAACTAATTTTAAAAATTACTCAAAATAAATTACAAAGTACTCCTAACGGTTAGACTCCATTTTCAATTTCACTTCAGCTGTATTTGGTGTCACTCCTTTGATCAGA